GTTAGTCTAATGGAGACAAATCAATCCATTCACATAAGAGTAGAACATTCAGGTTCTAATAGACATTTATTGGTTTAAAGTTACATGAAAAGCTTTGGGTTTTCACGGGTGATGTTTTAAGAAAAACTTTAGGTTTTCAAACAAGGCATGTTTTGAAAAACTTCAGGTTTCGAAAGAATTATGAACTTCAGGTTCATATGTTCTTGTAAACAAACACAAATATATATACTGAAATATGCAACCAAAATATGCAAATAGGTCTTCGAGGCCTATAACTATAATTGAATTAATTATTTGGACTTCGGGCCAAAATTAAAGTTTGGGTGAAAAATTATAAACATAAAGGGTCTAAAAAAATAGGTAACTAAAACTCGGGGCCTAAAATAGTGGGTCGAATCCCACGAGTGGGCTGAGGAAATTGATGACGTGAGGTCCAGGCCCAAAAACGGGCCAGGATAGGCACGGGCCTAGCTACAGGCTGGTCCATGGTAACACGGGTGGGCTATAGGCCCAATAAACCAAAGGCCCAGATGGCTGTGGATCAAGTGTAGCGCTGTACGATGCACCAATACTCCAACAACAAGCTAGGATCGTGTACGGGTGGGTACACAGATTGATGCGAGATTTATACGCACACAAATTAAACCCTCTTTTTGTCAATTGTAGTATAAGTATAAGTAGGGATCGTTCTGGACCGGGGATTAGGAGGGATTGTTAATCTCTTGGAAACTGACTCAAAAAACGTAAAAACAAGATAAAACACTTAAACTAGACTCAAAGAATGTGAAACTAAACGTTAAAACACTAAGACAAACCAAAAGACTCAAAATGCTTTAAAAACACAAACTAAATTGATTTCTAACTAAATTGAACAATAAAGTAAAGGGGGATTGGATTTGACGAACTTAAACTAAATGAACAAATTGCAATTAAAACAGAATGTAAATATGAAATTGATGAAATGGAATGGATGGGATGACTAGCTAAGGGGTTCATCTCCACACATGTTACACTTGCATAATAAAAAGATTTCCAATTGCATTTCAATAAACCATGAATTCTCAACGCCCCGGGTTAATTAGGTCCGCTTAAATTAACCGTCAAGTTTTCCTTAAGTTAATGAATTGGATGATTGCATACGACAACCCAAAGCATTCCTCACAAGTTCCCTACATGAATTGCATAATAGAGATACAAGCAAGAATCATTAAGCAACATGAAAACTATAAGTGTTGACGAGGCATTCGTTACTATGATTGCATGAAACTTATGCCAAGAATATGTTTAACGCGATTGTTTATAAGCAACCTCCACTACTTGTGAATATAAGTTCATAACTATTACGTGAAACTCACTTATATTCTAGCGTCAAATTCATGCATGAAAATTAAGCGTTCATTCTTAATAAACATACATAAATAGGTTATCAATTAAACAGTTAAACAAATTGAATTCACAACTTATGAAACGTAATTAAAAGTAATCAAATCATATTACAAACATAAACATAGTTTCGAATCACCCCCTAGCTAAAGGGGGTTTATTTCCTCATACGTACAAAACAAAGAGAATTGAAATTAAACATTGAAATCAAAGAAACACCTAAACATTCCAACAACTCAATCTTGAATTGTATGAACGTTTAGGCACTCTTCTCTTCCATTCTTCATATTACAAAACAAAGAGAATTGAATTTAAACATTGAAATCAAAGAAACGCGTAAACATTCCAACAACTCAAACGTGAATTGTATGAACGTTTAGGCCCTCTTATCTTCCTCTTTATTGTGGCACAAGGACTAAGGGATGTTGTTGGTGTGTTGAATGGATTGGGGGATTATGGAAATGGAAGAAATGGAGGAGAAATGGAAGGGAAATGGAGAGAAACTCACGGCTAGGGAGAAGATGGAAGTGTTTGTGGTGTGTTGTGTATGAAATGAGATGCTATTTGAATGAATGAATGCAAGGGTATTTATAGGAGGAGTGGAGATGTATATGGCTATTTGTTTAAGGTGTTTGTGGCTGCAATGATGAAGAATTGCATGTGGAAATAAAAGGGAAAATGTGGTGAAATGATGAAGTAGGAAGGTGGAAATGCATGTGAGATGTTGGAAAGGAAATGGGAATATGAGTAGGCCATGGCATGGGAGTTGTTTTGTTGGTGTAAATGTGCCATGGTTGCAATGATGAAGAATAAAGGGTGCATGTGGGGTGGAATTGAATGAATGCAAAGTGAATGAATAATGAAATGAGTTAAAGAGGGAGAATGTGGTGAAATGATAAAGTAGGAAGGTGGAAATGCATGTGACTTGTTTGTGGAATAAAGAATGAATGGTGGAATGATGAAGAGTTGCATAAAGAATGCATGTAGGGTTAGCTAGGTTGGCTTTGTTTGGGAGCATGTGTGTTAATGGTGGTTTTGCATGTGAATTGATGGATTGTTTTTGATGGAATGGATGGTTCTTTGCATGGCTTTTGAAGTGATTGTGGGCTTTGGAATTGGAAGGAAATGCATGGCCTTGGGGTTGGTTTAAGAGAGAATGGGCTAGGCCCTTTGTTTTATGTCCAAAATGAATACAAGGCCTTCAAATTCGTCCAACACTTTGGCTCCAATCATATGCTATCCATTCCAAGCCCAATTTTGCTCCAAAATGCTCCAAAATGCATCTTTTTGCTTCCTTAGCCATATGAACCTAAAAACACACGAAAATGGCTTAAACTACTAAAACAACTATGAATTAACAACATAGATGCACGAAAACAAGCTAAGTAAGTCGCCTAAATATGCTCCTATCACAGATGCACTAGCAAAGGCTGAGATCTAGTGTGTCGCAAGTGCAGGACAATATAGCCCATATGCTAGTGTCATAGGTCGAGTCCAACAAAGGGGGCCCAAATTGTACAGAGAGGGGCATGTTCACGTAGGCCCCGGCACCGAGGCCCTAGATAAAAGGTTTGCTTCAACGCGGTGCAGGCACACATACACCAGCATAAGGCTGTCATCATGTGTGGCACTGGTTCTCGGGCAAATAATCACTAAAGCCCAAAGGGCTGGTGATGTGGGTCAAGGCAGCAAGCATAAGTAAGCCCAAAAAGTTGTTGTGCTATATAGACATAAGGAAACCGAGGCCCGTCAGGGCTCGCTTTGGATTTGCAGGCCATCCCAGCGGCGCTAGGTGTGGGAATTAGCTGGAGAAAATCAACGACACAGCTTCAGGTAGTTTTTTCTTGGCCAAGGCAAGCGAACCAAGTTTTGGCGACTGAGGTAAAGCCTCAACATTGGTGGGATTCTATGTGAATCCTATGAAAAACTCACTAAATTCTTTTGGAATTTCAAAAATTGTTATTGAAAACGATGAATTTCGTTCAAATCGCACGACTTCAAGTCGCGGTCTTGTCAGAAAATCCAATGGGGGAGGTCTTGGCTTCAGGTCGAGGGTTTGGGTTAGGGACGATGGTGCCAAAACACACCACTTAGTTCTTTGGGCTTGTAGCCTTGTGACTCGTGGTTGGGCTGGGCTCGCCAAGCTGACGTAGGCTACTGGTTTGGTGTTGGCGGCTTGCACGGCGGCGCGGCTCGAATCCGCTACAAATGATGTTTCCAATCGAAATCCTAATTTAAATTATTTTTTTCTTAGTATAATCATGCATATTCAAAATATAATTCAATGTATGAACATATATTTGATGTAATTCATGGCAATATTAATTCACATAATTCAATAATTATGAATATAATGCATACACAATTTATGTAGAATCTAAAATTCGAAAAAAATGTAAAGTTGGGTAATGCATTATGGTGAATGTTCATATGCTATCAGAACTGCAAAAATGTCAAGATAAAAACCGTTGTTTGGGAAGAATTTGATTGTGTGATTATATTAATGAACTGGTTTGATGCAGAAAACTTCCACATCAGATTCCTAAGCACAATGGTAAGAGCGTGTTGTTACTTATTTTAATCTAACAAGAGAGAGATGAGGTGCGTCAGAGAGAGAGTAAGGAAAAAGATGTGTTTGTAAGGTTGTGTAGAGGATGTGTTATTCTCTCTACACATTGGCTTTATTTATAGTAATAAGCAAGGTTTTAAAAGACACTAGGCGCTAGTCCAGCGGCAGGCTGAGACCTAGCGCCTAGACGGCTAGGCAGGGCCTATGCGAATTTAAGTAAATCTATTATATTTCGTATAAATAAATGTATGTTTATACTTAAGATACATATAATTTCATCATAAGCTACATAATAGAACGACATATATATTATGAAGTATTGGAACATAATGAGGAACAAGCATATAATGTTTGTTCATTTAAGTATTCAACAAGTCTCTTACAATTTATTGAAAAAATAAAATGCAAAATGAAAGTTATCTGTTTTCTGTTTAAGTGAGTCGCAACTTAGGCAGATGCCTAGGTGGGTCTGGGTGGGCACCTCAACAGGTCTAGGTGCCCTTTCTTAAGTTTCAAACACCTAAGCATTAATTGGGGTGGTGGCCAGCTGCCTAGCGTCTAAGCAGGGTCTAGGCGGCGATAGGCGGAGATTTTTAGAACAGTCGTAATAAAGAAGGAAAGAATCCTTCTCCTCCAAGGAATATAAGTCCTAATAAGGAAGAATAATTAATATCAAATCTATTTTAGAATTTATACATCCACACTTTAATACAATGTTTATAACACCATAGAAGAAACTGTCCTGTCATTGTACTATTTTTCATAACTGATTTGTTTTTTGAAGAATTTTAAAATCCAATCACACTCCTTTATAAAGTAAAATAAAAAAACAAAATGAAATCAAATATTTCACAGGCATCTGCTAATATAGAGAAAGAGTAATGTTAGACTTACCATTTATTTGTATTATCCGTTTCATAGGGATATGACCTACCAACGCATATGGTATCATACCATCTCTATTAGATAGATGATACAAATAAATATTGAGAATAATATTTTGATAAATAAAAGGCCAAAACCCAAGAAACCGTTAGAGAATCCCGTGTTCATGCTCAGACATAAACCCCTCTACTTGTTCGAACGCCTTCCCTCCTCCTCTCTTCCATTTTGTTCTTTCTCTTCTTCTAACTACCTTAACCGCCATCTCGATTCTTTCCTCTCTGACCAACTTCCAACTTTGCAGCATCTCTCTCAGTCCCACGCTCTCCTTGTATCGTCTGGAAACTCAAACAACATCTTCATTGCCGCAAAGCTTATCTCTCTCTATGCGTCTCTCTCCAAACCCACGTTCTCCACCAAATTATTTGCTTCAGTTTCTCCCAAAGATACCTTTCTTTGGAACTCCATAATCAAAACCCATTTCTCAAATGCCAATTACTCGAAAGCCCTCGATTTCTTTTTTCAAATGCGGGGTTTGGGTTTTTCTCCTAACCAATTTACTCTTCCGATGGTGGTTGCCTCGTGCGCCGAGTTGATGTTGCTTGACCATGGTAACAGTGGGTTGGCTAAGAAACTCGGGAACTTCGCGGGTAATTCGGCAGTTGGGTCTTCTTTTGTGTATATATATTCAAAGTGTAGTCGAATGGAGAATGCATCTCTTATGTTTGATGAAATTACTGTGAGAGATGTGGTTTGTTGGACGCGCTTATAATTGGGTATGTGCAGAATGATGAGAGCGAGAAGGGTTTGGAGTATCTTTGTGAGATGCATAGGGTTGGTGGCATTGGTGAGAGGCCAAATTTCAGAACGTTAGAAGTTGGGCTTCAAGCTTGTGGGGACCTGGTTGCTTTCGTAGAAGGTAGATGCTTGCATGGTTTTGTAGCGAAAAGTGGGACTGGGTGTTCTGGAGATGTTAAATCTTTGCTTTTGTCCATGTATTCCAGATGCGGGACACCTGAAGAATCTTATCTTTCATTTTGTGATGTAGAAAATAAAGATGTTATATCTTGGACGTCAGTTATTGGTGTTTATGCTAGATCTGGGTTAATGACTGAATGCTTAAGTTTGTTTCGGGATATGCAGGATAGTGATATATATCCAGATGAAATTGTTGTCAGTTGCGTGCTTTCAGGGTTTAGAAATTCATCCAATGTCAATGAAGGTAAGGCCTTCGTAGGATTAGTCATGAGGCAAAATTATGCATTGAGTCACAATATTCATAGTGAACTACTGTCCCTGTACTGCAAATTTGAGTTGTTGACACTTTCAGAGAAGCTCTTTAGCGGAATGCAGCACCAGAACAAAGAGTCTTGTAACACTATGCTTTATGGCTATGGTAAGAAGGGACTGCATACAAAATGCATAGAACTGTTTAGGAAGATGAAACATCAAAGCATTGGAGCTGATTCTAATGGCTTGATATCTGTGATTTGTTTGTGTTTTCAGACGGGAGCAATCCATCTTGGCTGATCACTTCATTGCTTTATAATTAAGGTTTCTATGGATGAAAATGTCTCAGTAGCCAAGACACTCATAGACATGTATGGAAAAATTGGTTATTTGACCATTGCAAGTAGAATTTTTTCTGGGACACAGAAGGATATTATAACATGGAACTCATTGATCTCATCTCACACTCACAATGGACATTATTTTGAGGCCATAGCCCTATTTCATAAGATGATTGCAGAAAACTTCATGCCCAACTCATCAACATTGGTAACAGTGCTTTCAGCTTGCTCTCATCTCGCATCTCCGGAAGAAGGAAAAAAGGTTCATTGTTACATTAAGGAAAGACATCTTGAGATCAATTTATCCCTTGCCACTGCATTAGTTGATATGTATGCAAAATGTGGGCAACTTGAGAAATCAAGAGAATTGTTCAACTCAATGGAAGATAGGGATGTCATTTCTTGGAATGTGATGATCTCAGGTTATGCAACACATGGACTTGCAGAATCTGCAATAAAACTTTTCCGCGAGATGGAAGATTTAAATGTTAAACCAAATGAACTCATCTTTCTCGCTCTCCTCTCAGCCTGTAATCACTCAGGGCTGGTTGAAGAAGGGAAATATCTGTTTCGTAGAATGCAAGATCTTTCCTTACAACCACATTTGAAGCACTATGCTTGTATGGTAGGTATTCTTGGCAGGTCAGGTAAACTGCAAGAAGCGGAAGATTTGGTTCTGTCAATGCCCATTTCTCCTGATGGTGGTGTGTGGGGATCATTGTTAGGTGCCTGCAAGATTCACAATGAAATTGAGTTGGGTGTCAGGGTTGCAAGGCATGCTATAAAATCTGATCCAGAAAATGATGGCTACTATATTATGCTTTCGAACTTGTATAATTCCATTGGGATGTGGGAGGCAGCTATAAATGTGAGAAAAACGATGGAGGACAGGAGCATCAGAAAGACAAAGGGTTGGAGTGTTGTCTAACTTGTGTAGTTAAGAGAAACGGAAATCAGTTTATAAAAGGAGTAATCAGGATCTACTGCATTCACTTACAGAAAAGGAAAAAGTTTGATCCTGTGTCCCGAGTTTCAGTCCACCACCAGCAAAAACGAGGCCATGACCACTACTGAACTAATTTTGAGGTAGTATCGTTGTTCAGTGCGCTGTACTGCTTTTAACCATGTGATACTGATAGCCCGTTGGAGATACTTGTCGAGATATACATGCATTACAGAATGATTTTCATGCTCTGTTAGCAGAATTGCGTTCATATCTTCTCCAAAAATGAACCATACTGATAATTGATTTCAGAAAACACTACCTTTTTCTTCCTGCTTGATTTTTAGATTTTATTTCTTAGAACATAGCTATGGCATTAGGAGCGTGGTCGAAGAGTAAACTTAATTGCCTTGTTCTCTGGTCCGTGGATGCCCTATTGAACATGGATCAGAAGACGATGTTAGGTTTTAAGCTACTTTATTAGCTACTTATGCTTTTGTGTGCTTGTATACATTCATTTGTTGATTTCTTGAAACCGTGAGAGTGCATCAGCAGCTGTTTTATTTCCTACACTAAAAATCTCAAGCATTTGGAGTTGGATTTCGAAGAACTGCCAAGTCCAAATGTTCCTTTAATCCCTCAGGATAGTGGAGATTACAGAACCTTTGAACCTCAATAAAGTATTTATTGAAGGTTTCAGGTTGAAGAAATGCCTTATGTTAAGAAAATGGGGTGTGATATCCACACATCCTATTTTACTTTACACACACCTTTTTTAATTTTCGGCCGTCGGATCGGATGAATTGAAGAAGATCAACGAACAGAAATTATCAATGAGTGTGTGAGAAGTAAAATGGGGTGTGTGGATAGCACATCCCTAAGAGAATGCCCTTTCTTATTTTGCATGTATACAAAATCCCTAGTTTGCCCAGGGATACATTTGATCAAATCCCATGTCTTCATAAACTACGAAATTTAGTGTTTAGGGGAAGTTGTGATGTATGCTGCAGTCTATGTATTATTGACACAAAAAAAAAAAAAAAAAAAAAAAAAAAAAACTAATGAAAAGGGTTTGAGAACTTTGAGTTTTAACGATAAAGACAAAATAAAGGGTAAAGTGAACAGTATCAGTATTGACTTTTTAGTGTAAAAATGTGGTTTTTTGTTAAAGTGAACAGTACCGAGAACTTTTCGGTAAAGTTCCCCAAAAAAAAAAAAAAAAAAAAAAAAAAAAAAAAAAAAAACCATGTTCTCTTAAATGGAAATTTTTACAATATTCCGTAGCATTGAATGATATAATGAAGGATTGAAAGTAGAATATATAAACAGTTGTGTGTTTTGGGTTGAGAGTTTAGGGCCTCTCTTATTTTTTTTTTTCTCTTTTCCTCTCCTTGAACGCTCAGAAATTCATCTTGTAAAGGGCGAGGAGAAAAAAGTAGAGAGAAGAAAAAACCAAAAAAACTGTGAGAGGATGAGAGGAAGGGGAGCAAAAAAGGAAGGGGACCATCCAAGTGGCAAAGCCTAATCTAACTACATACAGAAAATGGCTCTTTAGATTTAAGCCTCCTATTTATGCTAATTAACTATTTATCCTAATTAAGCCAGTAGTTCAGCTGACAAACTCAACCATTAACAAATGTATTATGTAACAAACGAACACAAGTACTGATAGGATGGAAAAAATACACAAGAGTATGGGCCCGCCCATATAAAACTTTTGATTATGATTATGGATAACTATTTAGATAAATAAACAATTATAATTATTTATCTGTGAAATTTAATTTGTATGTCTCTTGTTAATGGTTATGGGTAAAATTAAAGGAAAACTTTGAGTTTTAATGATAATGACAAAATAAGTGGTAAAGTGAATAGTATCATAATTAATTTTTTAGTGTAAAAATATAGTTTTTCATTAAAGTGAATAATACCGGGAGTTTTTTGTTAAAAGTCCCTGAGATTAATTCTAATAAAGTTCTGCTCTATCACCATCAGCAACAACAATTTATGTCTTGATAATTGATGTCTGTTTTGGACTTTGCATTGCCTCGCATAAAAGTAGTATCACAGAGACACAGCTTTCCTCTGTTATTCAGGAGTAGTGATCATAAACTCTTCGGAGGAAAGCTCTAAATTGTTGGAACAGCGTTTAGTCTTACTGTTCTTCTCCCTTTGCTGTCAAATAGGTGAGAGTGCAGAACTAGTGATCATAAAGAACGCAGGGCATGCTATAAATGCAGAGAACCCCAAAGAGATGTGCAAGCACATGAAGGCTTTCCTCATCGATCCACTCCCTAAACCGAAACAAGAAAACCACAGCAACGGCCACAAGATGGATTGAGATACCAAGAAAAGGTGAAGGCTAATCAAGATGATCATTTTCTGACATTATTGGATATGAGTTTCTGTATTGTGGATTATATGTGCGAGTTGAATTTTGTACTAGAAGTTATTTTGTTTGTTTAGAAAGCAGAAGACTATACATCACCGCCCAAAATGTCATTTGGTCCATCACGGTAGAACAATGATTGGTTTTGCAAGAACTTGATTTATGCAGATCCATCTTATACTGCTTGTATGTTCATATGATCAATATGTTTTCTTATCAGATTGACTGGCAACTTAAGAGAATTGTGTCGCCGGACTTTGATTCTGGACATTGCTCCACGATCATTTTGATTTAGAGAAAATTGGAGCATGGACCCCTAAATTTTGATTCAATTGGCGCTCTAGCTCCTGAACTCGCTATAATGCAGAGCACTATAGTTCTTTTGGGTAAATCAACCTTATTTTCCCTTTAAACCCCTTTTTTTTGGGACATAAGTTCGAATGGTGTTACCCATAAAGACTATTGTTTCATATCACAGATTATTAATTCAGGGACGAAGGCTTCAATTGCACCAAAAGGCTAAGAATCAATAATACTGCACTTTTTTGTTTTAATTTATGTTGTGTGGTTCAGATCGAACCTGGCATCATAATTCAGGCAAGGAAAACATTACTCTATCAATAGTATCTAGCAAGTTATATGGCTTTATAGTAAATCACAGCAAAGATTATGCTCTCGGATGTTTACAATGACTTTATACTTTATAGAAGCAAAGATGCTTTCACTAGCTTTGGACTCTTTAAACGTTAAGCCTGTGTATAGTAAACATCAAACCGGGAATGTTAAATAATACTTCTCTTCTCAATAGTGAAAGATATTCAAAGTTCAGGATCCGCTTTGGCCTTAAGCTCGCTATTGAATCGTGTTATGTTCTTAATTTGTTACATCAGGATGATGCTGGTTTGTGCCATCCTTTTGCTTCCCCGTTTGATCAACATTTGAGGTCTTCAAAATCGATTTTTTAACTGTGAGATCAAACACGTTGAGAAGGAAACGAATACTGCGGCGGACAATCTTGCCAACTGGAGTTATAATTTATATTTTGATTTTTGTATTCTTATTGATAGCCCTCCTCTGCGGGTTCGAATTCGTCCTTACCAATTTACAAAAATGATTAATTGGATGGTTAAGGTTTCCAAGCTCCCACTACCCGACTTTCAAGTGGAGCATGGCATATCCTATGTAGTACACATATGCGCAGAAGATGCCCGATAAGTTGCTCACCTTTATTCCTGTTTCTATTTACCTGTTAATTAGAGCTCGACACTTGTACAAGATCTTTTCCTTTTGTATTGTTGATAAATTATCTCTCCATACATGTCAAAGTTGGATTTGCAAGAAGGAAGATTGACTATTCAACGTATAATAAAAAGCTAAATTACCACAACTACAGTTGGATTAGCATCGATTGGTGGGTGAGTACAATTTATCAAGAAAAATAGTATTATTTGACAATTTCATTTTTTTTCTTTTATGGGAAATTGGCTAAAAAGATTGGAAGTCAATTTTATATTCCATCATTCAAATAATTTCTTCAAGGCCTAAACCAAATTGAAAGGGAAACCAAAACTTAAGATTTAGTCGTCAAAAATCAATTTTTTTCATCAATATGTTTGTGTTTTTAGGGGTTTCTTCTATAGTGGAGAGTATGAGTGAATTTTTAGGGCTTGAATAGTTATTTCATATTAGAGTTACAAGTTATTTATATTTTGTAGGATGTATTTAACAATATATGGGATGCTAATGAAAAAACCTTATTAAATAGATCAAAATTTATTATTGACAAATGCAGCGATCAAAGATCGATGACATTATGATATATAAGATATTGACAACATACAACAATATGATAGCTATTTCATTTTCAGTTTTTAGTTTTCACATTTTCGAAAATGAATTCTTGTCTGATAATTATTTCAGTTTTTTTAGAAAAATGAAAACTGAAAACTAAAAAGTAAAAACTCAAGGCCAAACTTTGTAAACTCTAAAAGTAGTTTTCAGTTTTTATTTTAAATAAAAACTGAAAGTAACTACCAGACAAGATTTCAGTTTCCAGTTTTCAAAAAAGTGAAAGCAAAAACTGAAAACTCAAAATAAAATAGTTATCAAACGGATTGTTGAGATTTGAAAAACGACAATTTCCAAACAAATCAAATCTCAGTTTTCGGTCAGAAAACTTAAGTTTTTCCAAGTCCTGTTACAGCTTACACAGATCAAATCAAAAGAAGCATTTCCAAGCAAAAACCATCTCTCTCTCAAGCCATTATGATCATCAAGCCAGCCACAAGCGCAGACCACATTTTCCCTGCAAAATTCAAAAGATGACGATCGATCAGCTTAGAGTTTATAAATTATTCTTTTTTTTTTAATAAATAATTTTCTTACTCTAAACTACACTAAGAAGAAGATAAGAGTTTGAACGCTGTATGCAGTGGGTTAAAGAGGAATACCTAAAGCCAACAAGACACTAGATATATTTTTCGACTTGAAAAGTTTTGTAACTTCCATTGCTCCTTAACGCTTAAGTTCTCTCTCTTTTGCTCACGCAATAAAACTTGTCTTTATTCCCCAACACAAACAAAACCCATCAATTGCAAACTTACAGAGGGAAAGGCATCAGGTGCGCACTTTACGCACCATGAAACCTCACTTTATGACAACAAATTAGCATCAACCATGGACGGAGCCAATGAAGGCTTCCTGGGGGCAGATGCCCCCACTCAAGTAATTCGTTTGTTTAGTTGCAGACTACAATTATATAATATACACGGGTTATTTTTGAAGAAAATATATGTATCTAATATCCAACATACATTCATTCATTCTATTTATACTCCATATCAAATATTATATGAGCAATAGTGCTCTTGTTCTGTCATTCAAACCGAAAAAACCCGCTCGCCTATCATGTACTTATATTTTTCTCATCACTTTGCCACTTTCCACTACTATATTGAAATTTTTGTAACATTGGAATTGTGATACATCATCATTTGAAACCATCCTTAATATCATTTTGCATATAACCATACTATAATAAGGTTTTCTTAGTTGTTTTCGGTTGCCCCTGCTAGAAGAAATTTTTGGCTCCGTCCCTAGCATCAACACTCGTAAATAATTAACCACACTTATTAAAATGGTTTAGCTGTAATCAATTTCATTATCAATATATCATCGATCTACTTAAATAATGGTAAGAAAAATATTGAAGAACAACTTACAAATAGCAACTGGTAAATGATCATCACAGGCGCCGGAGCCCCAAAGCAGTTCCGAATCCGGAGTGTAATTATTATAGCAATCTGATGAGGTGTTGTAGCCATTCTTACACACACAAAGAAACTGATCCTGATCATCAACCCTATACCCACAAACCCCATCACTCATCTCACAGCTCTTGCACTTTGTATCCACAATGCCACTGTCCAAACCACCGTGACTGTACTTCAACGCCACCCCATACTCCCACCACACAGGGTCCGTCGGGTAGTCTCCGAGAGACACCACGGATGTAAATGAGGCACACTTTAACCCGTGGAGGTCCAACTCACCCTTAGCATCAAGATTCCCTGGTGAATACACACAGCATGTGTTTGTTGGGGGGAACAAGGGGAGGCCAAGACCTACGACGGATGGACACGTATATATAGAAGCACAAAGGTAAGAGTAGGAGGGATCACAGACGGGGATGCCGGAGGGTTTGAGGGTGAGGGAAGAGGTGGGGGACTGGCAGGACAAGAGGATGAAAGTTGATGGGCCGAGCTGAAATGGGGAGGCCCAGTCAAGGCCGAAGTTGGAGGAAGAGGGTTGCATGGAGGTGCAGTTGGACATGGAGGGTGGGCTTAGGATTAGGGTTTGGGTGGCGTAGGAAATGGAAGTGATAGGGTATGAGCCTGTGTGGGTGGTGAGGAGGAGGAGCTGCTGATTGTTGATAAATGCGCAGGTTATGTAGGGTTGGAAAATTGGTGAGCCACAGCCAGGGCCTGTGCCAAAAGGGTATCTCAGTTGCAGGGATCCACATGTGGGCTTGCAAGCAGGCGAGTCTGTGGCGAAGGCTGTGGTGATGTAGCGGTGGTTGAAGAGGAGGAGGAGGAGGAGGATGAATATTGAAAGAGCTGGTACTCCAACCATTTGAGCTAGCTTTCTCTTGGCTTCTCTCTCTGTCTTGTGATCGATGACGCTGTTATGATCTTATCCAAAGAGGAGGAAGAAAGGTGGACTTGTGTTTAATGGGTATAGGAGGAGGGCAACAAGTGTAAGAAAGCAGACCATCGCATAAGTTACAACTTCCTACATATGTAATTCGAGAGAAAATTTTTATTAGGTGATTTGGGAAGGGAATTTGAACTCTCGACCTAATCAATGTTGAAAATTAAATAATAATATCAAGTTAGTTTGAGAATTCACTGTTACTTGTATGTGGAAATTAACAAGTTTTGGTAAGTTTTTGAAGTTAACCCATTTAAATGGTGTCATTAGTTAAAGATATATCATGATTAGGTTAGGTCAAAAGTTTGATTCCTCACAATGAATTAGAAGAAATAATTTTGCGGTAAAGTTGGTTCAAAACCGTCCTCACTAGTAGTACCTATCCTTGACAACCATTAGCACAACTTCGAAGAATAATTTTTTTTTTTTTTTTTTTTTACACTGTCTACAACTATGGATGTTGTTCATGTGCCTTCTTTTGTTGTTTGGCTACCATAGACAACAAATTAGAGTAATGTTATTCATACCATGTTTATATATCACATTTCTATACCATCTTAGGTGGCATCTGATGTGGACAGCTACATCATTTGAAAAATTTGCAAAACCCAAGGAAATGAAGGAGAAAGGCCCCTGGTATACCACAATCATCATTTAATTAACTAGCTTTTTCTTAATTATTAGTTTATTAAATAATGAACTAAATTTAAAAATCTAATTAATTCAAATGATGTGGCTGTCCACATCAAATGCCACCGAAAGTGGTATGAAAATGTGGTACAAAAACATGGTATAAATAACATTACTCTACAAATTATGCATTTTTGCTCCAATTGGTTCTAATATATATTTACAATTAGATTCTTCAAGATAAGGATGGAATAAACTTTAATGCACATTTTTTCTCTTGCTTCGTTTATGCATGTAACGTACAGAGATGGAATCATGTGTGTGTGTGTGTGTGTGTGTGTGAATTGCAGCTACCTACACTTACATTAGTTTGCCATTTGTATTTCTTAATAAAATCAACAGTGAAGAATATAGCAACACTAGTAACTTTCATAGCCTTACATATACAATTGTTACTTCGCACTGAATTGCCATAAGACAATTGTAATTACGAAGAAAATGTATACAAAAAGGCAAGGTATGAACGGTTTAGAAGCTCTTGCATATTGACAAAAGAAAAAAGAGAAAGAAGATGCTATTGGATAGGACTGGTGAAAAAAAATAATATATATATATATATGCAAAATAGAAAATAAATTCGAAATAAAAGTTGAATTAAGTTTGGGCTTGACATCCGACGTTAAGTTGGAAACTCAAATGCCCTTTAGCACAATTCGAAGTGGGCGAGGGTCTCCTGTCCCGACTTTGGTGTCTCGATTGTGTCTCAATTCTTATTTAGTTGACATGTGTCCATTCATTAACTCAAAAATTGACACCGTTAACCTTCAACGTAGAAAAAGCTAAACATAAAATAAGAGATAGAGAAAGGCCGGGGCCCCTGGGTCTCACTGTTAAAACTCATCGTCACCGCCCTCTTCCCGTCCTACTCCCTCGTCACCACCGCAGCCCTTGGGTCTCACTGTTAAAAAAGGAAAATGGTATTTCTCTCTCCTCTCTCCTCTTCCTCACCCTCTCTCGCCAACATCTCTCAAACCATGAAAAGGTCATGGACCCATGGCTCCGAATTTAAAAAAACTCCATTAAAACCCGATCAAGCAAACCAATAGCTCATAGAGCGAAAAATATACAATTATTCACGATTCTAGAACATGTATTTACATTCACAAATTTCCGATGGAAACAATTTAGAGAAAAATTAAGATATAGGGAGAAATCCATAAGAAAAAACTATGCTTGGAAAAGAGAGAGACAAAATCAAATTGTGGGTTTACTCCAGACTTTTTCCATTTCCGAAATTCAAATCTTGAGTTGTTTCTTCCGTTTGCAGATTCAAATCCTCGGTTTCCCCAGTGTATTTCGATGGATATTTTCCAATTGGAAACCAGGGTTACCAATTCATAGTGTGAGAAAACTGAAATTGACAACCATGTTTCTGGTTTCATTGGGAAGGTGAAAAGGTGAGGAAAAGGAGAGAAGGTTAACGGTGTGGGAATTAAGCCGACATATGATAGTTGCATTGAAAGACTATTTACTCTGGTAATTCATCATTACTAGAAACATCTTAATATACATATAAGAAACAAGTAACATATTTGACATAAGAGCTTGTAAGTTCAGTTATGTACTCACAACTCAAATTAATAAGTGTGAATAGTAATCGTAAAAAATGCTTAAATGCAAAGGTAGAAATTAAATGAATTTAACTAGTTTCATAATTCAAATTAAGATCACAAATGCATAGTAATGGTCATCCTCGTTAACAATCATATGAAAAAAATTCTAAAAAAATTAGAAATTGATTAGTTGCAAAGTCAATAAAAGGACAATATATGTGCACCAAGAAACTCTCCAAAATGAACCACCATATTAGATGTATCATTTGTGCTAATAAACTATTGATTACGTTATAATATTGGAACAATACTTGTGACACACCTCGACTCGGAATGTCCACTTAGATTCTAAATTGAGCTGTGTTGGCTGACACTTGGAGAATGACGAAGCCAGCACAACTTGATTCGAGGTCCAAGTGGACATCCCAGGTCGGGGTGTGTCAGTTTGGTATCAGAGCATTAGTTTGGGCAGTATTGTGTTCATCACACGCGTGATGTAAACCTTCTCGGTTCTCGAACCTAGTTATCGAATCTTGCCACCTCATCGAGCACGAAAAACGTGTTAGCTTTTCTACGTTATGAGTGATTTAGGCCACTTATCAACTTTCTAGAAGAACATTTTGACGACCACCTTTAGACTTAAATGAAGAACCTCCCTGCCAAGGAAATATCCCTAATTGAGACAAGTGGTTGGCCCTGAAGCAGGGCTAATGTATCGATAATTGTGTGCACTAGAGATTTACCAATCAATCCCACTACCATCTAGTCATATCTACCAACCCTTCCGAGATAGGAAACCAGAAATAGTTTTGATTCCTTGGTAGTACCTACTAGAATACCAGCTATCAGAATTCCAGCGAAGTTTCACTTTTCATCGAAATCTTTGTAAATGTCTCGAACGACAATGTGGTGCTAAAGTGGTAGCACTCGACGGAGGAACATCTAAGGGACAGTCATTTTTGGTCCCCAATAACACTAATCTTCTCAAACGCACTAGTTGTAATTTTGGATCTTCAAGAGGAAGATCGAATCCCATTTAAGTCCATTCTAAAGTAGGTTATTAGTAAATTCATTTTTCTGACCCTAGGACATTTCAACCAACACTAGATCCAGAAGCACCCCCTTAGTTCCTAAGTTTCAACCGCCGCCCCTTGATTTTGCTTGAGATAGGCAGTAGCCCGTTACTCCTCATTCCCTCCTCCCCTCTCATCTCCTCTGCCCCTTCCCCTCTCCTGCAGCCACATCTTTTTCCTTCCCCCTTTCTAGTTTCCTTCCTTCATTTTCATTCTCGATTCTTCCTTAGTTTAATCT